ACTTGGGGAAGATGAAAATTGAGAAACTCATTTCCTAAAACTGCCTGTGCCTATGCACTCCTTAGATAAAATCTTTGTGATCCCCATATACCCTAGTTTGGAGACTTTTAACAAGTTAAGAAATTAATTAGTTGTTTAAGTAATTAATTAATATTTAAGAAATACATCTGCTCCACACCTGAGCCATCCCTGGTCTATGTGAGGAAGCAAGCAGAGTGCCTTCCCAAGAATAAAAAGTAGCCCTCAGCCACAGAGAAAAAGTGGGATGTTTGGCCCCTAGTTGCCCCCAAATCCTAGATGCTTTACAGCATTCAAATAGAGATCAACAAACATGGGGGCCATTAGGGGATCATGAAATGTACAGTCTTCTCTCTTCCTGTTAATTGAACTCAGACTAACTTCAGTGTTCTGGAAGTTCCTCCCAGTTTAAGTCTGGATGTAGAAAATGCAATAAAGATAGAAGGCAGGCCCTAGCTGGTTTGGTTCGGTGGATAGAGCATTGGCCTGTGGAGTGAAGGGTCCCAGGTTCAATTCTGATCAAGGGCACATGCTTGGGTTGTGGGCTTGGTCCCCAGTGGGGGGCGTGCAGGAGGCAGCCGATCGATGGTTCTCTCTCACCATTGATACTTCTCTCTCTCTCTCCCTTCCTCTGTGAAGATCTCTCCAGATTTAGGTTCTTGAGTCCTGCTGTGGTGGAAAGAGCCCTGAACACAGAGGAATGGGGACAGCTATTTTTTTTAAACTTTCATTTTATTTTATTTTTAAAATTAATTTTAGAAAGAGAGAAAGAGGCAAAGTAAAAGAGAGAGAGAGAGAGAGAGAGAGAGAGAGAGAGAGAGAGAGAGAGAGAGAAACATCAATCTGTTATTCTACCCACTCATGCATTCACTGGTTGTCTTCTGCATGTGCCCCTACTCGGGGACTGACCTGCATCCTTGGTGCATCTATGATGCATCTGGTCAGTGCTCCAGCCAATGGAGTTATCCTGGGCCCCCTCAGGCCACCCACTTCACTTCTGTGAATTTCTGCTTCATCAGCAATTAATGAGGCTTGGACTAGAGTAGTATCCTTCAAACCTTTTAGACTGACTCAGAGTGAGGCAAAGACACAACATACAACCTCTGATGTATTTTATTCTATTCATTTTTTTCACTCATTTTATTGGGGGGAAAACATCTACCTGCTTACTACTCACTAAACTGATATTTTAATTCATAAATAGGTGGCAAACCATGGTTTAAATAACTCTGGACTGGCAGGAATAAGCTGTTCTCAAAGAGTAGCTTAATAATCAAGTAATGTTGTTCCTCAAACAAACGGTGAATTAGGCACAGCCAACCTTTGGCTCCTCCCCACCTTTCAAGGACTCATGTCCTGGTTTCCTCTAGCCCCATTTGTTCCTGCAACTCCTGCTCCTATTTCCCTTACCTCCGTAGCCTGTACTCAGATGTAAAAAGTTGTTTCTGAACTGGTACTTTTCCTTTCTTTGAGATAGCTCTGTCTCCTTAGAACCATCCTCCCAGCTTTAGCTCGAGCTCGCATTAGGTCCTTGTTGGAAAGATATTTCCACAGATTCCAGGCCCCGAAACTACTCACCTTTGACTTTTAGAGTCAGGTACTTGTAGTCCCAGGAGCTCCTATAGATGATCACGCAGCGGTACTTCCCCGCATCGCTCAGCTGGACTCGGGGGAAGTGGAATAAGGCCTTCCCCAGGGGCAGCTGCTCCTTCAGCAAAGTGGTGCTGTTCGAGGATGTATTGTTTCCCAACTTTTGCAAACTGGCTTGTAGATATTCAACATCCAGGTCATCGTCGGAGTAAAAATCACACTCCAGGGTCACATTGCTGCCGTGTTCCGCTGTGTACAGTTCCTTAGGGATCACCACTCTGAATAAAGCTACACAGAAAACAAGATGTTCTCCCACTGTCTGCATTGACATTTCAGTTTTGTGCAGAGTGGAAGCCAAAGAGACTCAGGCCACCCCACTTCTCTAGGGAATATTCATCATTTCTGGGCATTGCTTGGGCTCATTTCGGTCCCTTCCCCATCCAGTCTGGGCAAGAGTGAAATTCTCTACACACTTTTCTGAGGTAGTTCTTTCCTCTCAACACTCCCCACCTGTACACCTGATGGCCCTCCTGCCACCTATTATCCAGGCTCATCTTTTTCCATGTGAATCAAATTATAACATTCCCCGAAACAACGTGACTTATCTTTCACCAGTGATAATAATTACAACTATCACAACTATCACGTGTTGAGTTCTTACTAGGTGTTAAGCCTCTGCTAACTCATTTATCAAAATACATTAACCACCTTCAATAAGCCAGGTTCAGGAATTTACACTAGAACTTTCCTCATAGCACTTTCTTCTTTTATTTTACTACACATGAAAAAATAGGAAACAGGGAAGAGAAATGGGGCTTGTGAGGAAGATTAGTTGCTGAGTCTGAGATGTAACAAGAATTAGAGGACTCTGGGTGCGACTTATTTAACAAATGTATTTATCACACTATGCTTTCTCTTCATGAGAGGAACGCCTGTAACTTCCTCTGGAACTCCCCATAGCACACAGCAGAACTCCCCTCTTGATGGTCTTTGACAAAAATACACTTTCTGCTTGCTTCCCCACTCTGTCTCGTACAGGGGTGTGTGTGTACCAGGGCTGTAGGCATAAAGCATGCTACCTCTCAGACAGGTGATGTTTTTCAGCTAATGTTCACAAGAGAAAAGAGCAATTAGCAAACATGAATCATGTATATGAGTACCTCAGAATAACTAGGAAATTAATGGTTATTTGGGAAGGCTTTTAAAGCATACTAATGCTCTGGCCCCACTTAGAATCCTTTAAAATTAAATTCTAATTCTTTTGTGAGGCTAGCATCAATTTTTTTTATTTCCCTAATATTTAAAGAGCATTGAGAACCACTGGTTAGACAAATAAAACACTTGCAAACATCTTTTATCTTCCTGCCATTGAAAGTGTTGTCCTCAGTTTCACCTGGGAGCTAGTTAAGAATGCAGAACGTCAGGGCCTGCCCCAGACCTACAGGAGCAGAACCTGCATCGTAGTATTAATAGTGTGATTGATTGATGGTGTGCACATTAACATTTGAGAAGCTGAGTTAAAACTCTGGTCTGCATTGAGACTTTTAATGGGAAGTAGAGTAATAGTTAATATTTATTAAATAAAATGAGCCAGACACTGGGCTACCTTTACATCATCATCTCATTTGATGTTCCCTAAATCCTGCAAGGTAGGAGTTACTACCCCCATTTTACAGTTGGGGAAACTGAGGCTTAAAGAAGTGACACACTAGCCCAAGGTCATGGAGTTGGAATTCAAATTTATGTCTCTTGAAAACCTATACCCCTAACAACTTTACAGATATGACTATATATCCACTGGCATGTATATACTACACCCATGAGTGAGACAGACTTTTTTTTATCTTTGTACTAAGGAAAATACATTTGTTTTCTATTTTATATGCCTTGTGGCTATTAAATTAAGCTTCAGCCTAGCATTGCACTCCTGAAGTTATCAGACAAAGGAGAAAATTGGAAAATTTCCATGACTACAAAATTAAGCAGACTAAACAGGTTTTCGCCATTATTTGGGGCCCTTGACTAAGTTAAAGGGTAAAGGACTTGGCCAGGGCATGAAAAATTCACACGTGCAGGTTCTTTAGGCAAATTAAAGCAGTTGCCTTGACTAATGCTGGAGCCTTTGAAAAATTTTATATAATATACACATACTTTAATAATATATTGATCCACTGAATCTACATTTTAACAAAAGATAAAAATCTATATAATCCAGTTCAATATGCATACAATTAGGGTGCACTTATAGTGCTGGCGTCTTTTTGAAAGTTCTTGAGGTAACTTTACATTTTATTTGCAATCAGGAATCAATGGGAGCCAGCACCTGTCACATCTCCAGTAAACACAAAATAAATCATTTGCATTGCCTCCCAAGATAGCTTCCTCTTTAAGCTAATTTTATACTTTTTTTCTCTTTGACAACAGAACCATAGACTTGTTCCTACTTCCTACCTAATGTGCTTATAAGTTGGGGGGCTGCTTTAGAAAAGCCACAGTTTTTAGAAAACTCTAGTTTCTGATTCAAGATAGAAGCCTGCTCTGGACAGCTGACTCATGCACTCCTCTGTATAGGAACTCTGCATGGAGACAGCTTAGAAATCCATCCCCCAACCTGATTCTTCTGTGTTGTATGCCTCAGGGCACAACAGAAGTAGTTTTGGAGAATGAAGATAGAATAAGTGGAGTGACCTAGGGTGTAGGCCCTGCCCTAGAGTGACACATCAAGCATCACCATGGTCATGTGCCCCCTCCCCCGCCCCCGTTTTATCTATCTTTGGAAGATGAAGAAAGAAACATCAATGAAAAGAGTAAAATTTAGGTTAGTTTTTCCTCCAAGTCATGACAAAAGACAAAAGTAAATATCTTTCTTAAATGTATTACAAGATGAATTACAAGATATTGTTAGGTTTTGAAATAAAACTATAAGAAACTAGAAGCCCAGCCGGTGTGGCTCAGTGGTTGGGCATCAACCATGAACTATGATGACATGGTTCAATTCCTGATCAGGGTGCATGCCTGGGTTTCAGGCTTGATTCCCAGTGGGGGGCATGCAGGAGGCAGCTGATCAAGAATTCTCCCATCGTTTATGTTTCTATCTCTCTCTCTCTCTCTCTCCTTTCCTCTCTGAAATCAATGAAAACATATTTAAACAAAACAAAAAAACTTTAACAATAAGAAAATAAACAATCCAATTAAAATTGTTCAATAATTTGAATACACACTTCACCAAACAAGATATATGAATGGCCATAGGCATGTGAAAATATGCTTATCATCACTAGATATTAGGGAAATGCAAATTAAAACCAAATGAAATATTTCCACACACCTTTCAGACTGACTTAAAAAAAGAAAATGACAATGTCAATACCAAGTGTTGACAAGGATGTGGAACAATTGGAACTCGCATATTTTGCTGTTGGGAATGCAAAAATTGTATAGACACTATGGAAATGTTTAACGGTTTCTTTAAAAGTAAATATATATTTAGCATATGACCCAGCAATCCCACTCCCAGATATTTATTTACCAAGTGAAACGAAAACCTATGTTCCCATAAACACTTATATACAAATGTTTATAGCAACTTTATTTATGTTGCCAAAAATAGGAAACCCAAAAGTCCCTCAACTGAGGAATGAATAAACAAAATGTGGTACATACATACGTTAAAGATACTCAACAACAAAAAGGAATGAACTATTGATACATACAACAAATATGGATGAATCTCAAATGCATTATGCTAAGTGAAGGAAGCTCAACAAAAAAAAGTGTTTAATGAATGGTCCCATTTATATGACATTCTGGAAAAGTTAAAACTATAGGACAGAGCAGAGTGAGTGTCTGGTCTTAAGAGTTGGGAGAGGCCCGGCCAGTGTGGCTCAGTGGTTGAACGTCAACCTATGAACCAGGAGATCATGGTTTGATTCCTGGTCAGGGCACATGCCTGGGTTGAGGGCTTGATCCCCAGTAGGGGCATGCAGGAGGCGCAGGTCAATTATTCTCTCTCATCAACTAAATGTCTTTCTCTCTCTCCCTTCCTCTCTGAAATCAATAAAAATATATTTTTTAAAAAGTGTTAGGGGGGATTTTTGTTTGTTTGACAAGAGTGACAGAACTGTTCTAAATCTTGACTGTGGTGGTGATTTTGACTATTCATTTGTCAAAATTCATAGATGTTTTTATAAAAAAGTAAATTTTACCGTATATCAATTTAAAAATAAATATTTTAAAAATACAATGAAAATGTTTTCCACTAATTTTTATTTCAAAATTTAAACTCTTTTATAGATAATACAGTAGAACATCCTCAGAGCATACAAGTAAGAAAAGAGTTCATGATTAGTGGTTTACTTGAATTATACTGAGAATCAATTTTCATCACAATCTTTAGGAGATACACATTTCTTTAAGCATTAATCCAGAATAAAAGAAGAAAATAACTGTAATGTCCATCAATAGTGGACTATTTAAATAAATAACAGCATGTCCAATAAAATAGATAGAGTCCCTTAAAAATGAGGGATGTCTATATTTGCTGATATGAAAACTATAAAAGACATGTTTGCCAATCGCTTACTAAAATTTCTTTGAATGATTTTTAGTAACTTATTTTATGGAGAAATAAAAAGGACAGATAGGATGGTGCTCCAGGGAGTGTTCTGGGAGGAGGTCATATTGAGGTGGAGCAGGTGAAGAGTTTCTGGGAAGCTAGCACGGTTCTATTTCTAACCTGTGTGGTTGCATCAGTGTTTACATTTGTTTTATATGGTTTTCTGTATGTATGGTATAAAGGTTTTAAATGCAAAAATAATTTAAGATATTGAATTCAGTAAAATATATACTTACCAGTGCTTACTAAAACCCAAGAACTAGAACATATATCTACTGCCTCCACCAAAGGTAATCACCTTTTTAAATATTGTGTTTATCATTCTCTTGCTTATTTTTTTTTAGTTTTATCTTAAATATATGTATGCCTAAGCAATATTTTGTTTGTAAAAAGGACACTGTGGTGATGTCATCTTCTGTTTTCTTTGTTTTTCCTCAATATTATGCTGCTAAAATTCTTAGATGTAGTTGCATGTTTTTGTAATTAATTTACCTGTATGGCACATAACACTCCATTCTGCTAATATACCGTAATTTATGCATTCTCCTGTTGATGGGCATTAGGTGTCTTTTTATTGACTAACAATACTGTTATAAGTATTATTTTTAAAGTTTCAAAGTAGAAATTTAAACAGACAGGGTAATACAAAATTATATTGATCCAATTCATTATTTTCCATTTCAGTGAGAGCGCAGGTCTAGGAATGCACAGGGTAATGAGGGCAGTGAGGTCATCCATCGGACCTCCCTGATAGCCATGGCTCTCTGGGCATTGAATGCCATGGCCTGGCTGTTCTCACGGGCTTTTAAAGGATTCTTATATTTTAATAATTATATTTTAATTATACAACTAATCCTCTTGTAGATTTATTTTATTATACAAGTAAATGCAAACAATAACAGCAACCTGGTGAACATACTAAATAAAATTTCCCTTTCACCCTCATCCCGGACCTCATCTGCTTGCCAGAAGTAATCTAATCAGTCCTCAGTGTGTGTGTGTGTGTGTGTGTGTGTGTGTGTGTGTGTTCCCTTTCTTTCTCTTTGATTAAGAAGAAACTCTTTGATTAAGGGAGACATGAGATGTCAAAACTTAAAACAAAAACCTGAGGAGTAAGCATTCTAATTTAGGCAGGTATTTAATGTTTGATTGAACTAATATTATCTGCATAAATATAGAGTGGAAAGCAGAGAAGAATTCCAAGTTTGTATAAAAAGCAAGATACAATATGTGTATAGCTTCCTCTTGGTTAATTCATAAACATAATTCAACATACATATTTTTTGGTTTTGTGAATGTCCAGAGTAAATGTTTAATATGTGCCCATAATCAAACTTAATTCCAAAAACCCAATCCTGAGTGGGTGGTTTAGGGATTGTCTGTCATACTTGTTCACCATCATTGTAGCTCAGTAAGGTAGAAAGAACAGTAGCTTTGTAGGAAGCTTGCCCACGCCACCTAATTACTATGTAATGTTTGATAAATTAAATAATTTTCCTGAGTCCCAGTTTCCTCATCTACCAAATGGTTATTGTTAATGTCCTCAGTAAATATACATTCTCTTCCCTATGCCCTATTAGTATCCCTAATAGTTAGAATCTACTTTCATTTCCTTACACTACTTATCTTAGAAAGAAAGATACTACCATGGGAAAAAGATTCAGTAAGGGATACAAAATGATACTACTTGTTATCCTAGCTCACTCTTTTCTTAAGAGAAAATTTAAAATAATAACAAAACAAAAACACACACAAAAAAAGGTCTCAATGTTTCTAAGCTGCAAACCTGCAGACATTGCACAATTCCCAAGGTTTCTCCTGGAGTGCCCAGTCCTCTCAGGGGATGGGGAACAGCAGCATCAGAACCTTCTTTTGACCTTTGGTTTTCTTATCACTTTACCAGAGGCCCGGTGCATAAATTCGTACACCAGTGGGGTCCCTTGGCCTGGCCTGCAGGTCGGGCCAAAACTGGATCTCCAACATCCCCCGAGGTGTCCTGAATTGCAAGAGGGTGCAGGCCAGGCTGAGGGACCCCACAGATGCAATGATAGGGGTTGGGGAGGGACGTGGGAGGTTGGCCAGCTGAGGAGAGACTGCGGGAGGACTCCAGGGCATGTTCAGCCCATCTCGCTCAGTCCTGGTCAGCCAGACCCCAGCAGCAAGCTAACCTACCAGTCAGAGCGTCTGCTCCCTAGTGGTCAGTGCACGTCATATGAGCAGTTGAGTGGCCTTAGCATATCATTAGCATATTACACTTTGATTGGTTGAATGGACAACCGGACACTTAGCATATTAGGCTTTTATAATAAAGGTTGGAAATTTAAAGTTCTATGGTAGCAAGGAGCCATCTTTGCCTTTTACATGTCTCTAAAATCAGAGGGTGCCTTAGAAAGGAAACAGGAAATGTTTCTTTAGCTGGCACTATAGGGCAGGGCTGGAGTAAGCAGCATATTGGGGTGTTCTCCAAGGATGGCCCTTAACAAACCAGGCTGTCCAGCCCAAGGGAGGAGGAGGAACGTGACTGGGTAAAGAGCAGCTTGGGATCACCTGGAAGGTAGGGAAAAGCTCTTCAAAAGGTTATCAGTGCCAAAGAAGCCCTTTCTCAATCAAAGGCAGAATGTTGGGAGACTTCCCAAGCATTGGGGCTGCTATCATTGTGGGCCTAATTCCCTGCACCTACTTCTGTCTCCCTCTCTTAACTCCTGGTGTTCACCCAAAATAACACACTCATGATCCTCACTGCACACACGAAGGGTCTTGACTTTCCTAGGAGAGCCACAAACTCTGAAACTCTTTTTGCCTTCAACCATAAAAAGTCCTTAGATGGGAAAAAACCTGTGAGCACCCACACCTGCTGGTAGAACTCCTTTCTTCAGTATCCAAAGGCATCACATTAAGGTTCATTATTCATTTAAAAATTAGGAGAAAACTCTGATTTTCCAATTCAAGTAATCCCCAATTAGCGTTTGAATGAACAATGCTACTGTTGCTTTTTGAAAGAGGAACTGAAATAAATATTCAATAATCAGCGGAATGTCTGCAAGAGACTCTTTAGAGTAGAGGTTCTCAACCTGTGGGTCGTGACCCTTTTGGGGGTCGAACGACCCTCTCACAGGGGTCACCTAAGACCATCGGAAAACACATATATAATTACATACTGTTTACAGTAGCAAAATTACAGTTATGAAGTAGCAATGGAAATAATTTTATAGTTGGGGGTCACCACAACATGAGGAACTGTATTAAAGGGTCGCGGCATTAGGAAGGTTGAGAACCACTGCCTTAGAGTAACAGAGTTCTTTAGGTGTTCCCCTGACCTTTGTCTCCTCACTCCACCTGTCAGAAGAGAAGAGGACAGCTGCCTGGCACCTCACCTTTCAGGACAAACCAACAATGCCCTCTTGTATCAGTGCCGAGGTGCATGGTCTGAGAGGTTCTGTCTTCGTGTCACCACCTTCATTGGAGAGTGGGACTAAATGAACCAATATTCTCAGTCCCTGTTTTTGTCAGACAGGAACATGGGCATGCACAAGCCACCATTCTTTTGCTGTGCTTGTAACAGCCGTAATCACTCTTCCCCTCAAAGAAAGCCTTCAGCCTGAGGACCACATTGTCATGGTTGGCTTCAGCTAGGGGCCATCACCTGCTCCTCTTTCCTAGGCCCCTCCCTTTGTCTGTCTTACCTCTTGTCTGATGAAGCTGTACTCCCAGGCTCAAAATTAGCAGGAGGAGGAACATGTTCTCTACCGGATCTGAAACAGACAATTGAAAGTCTCAGGCCCTTCTGAAGTTTTGCTTTCTGTAGTTTTGCTGGTCTCATGACTTGATGATTTGTTCACTCCTGAAAACAAGGAAATGACTTGTAAACAAATGTGTGGTTTTTTGAAAATATTTTTATTGATTTTAGGGAGAGAGGAGGAAGGGAGGAAGATCGATGGGAGAGGTAAACATGGACTGGCTGCCTCCTGCAAGCCCCCCACCACAGGGGATTGAGCTGCAACCTAGCACATGCCCTGATCAGAAATCAAACCAACAATCCCTGGGTGCACTGGATGATGTTCAACCAACTGAGCCACATCGGCCAGGACTCATAAACAAATCTTTTTTTTTAAAATACATTTTATTGATTTTTTAGAGAGGAAGGGAGAGGTATAGAGAGTTAGAAACATCGATGAGAGAGAAACATCAATCAGCTGCCTCCTGCATACCCCCTACTGGGAATGTGCCCACAACCAAGGTACATACATACCCTTGACCAGAATCAAACCTGGGACCCTTTAGTCTGCAGGCCGACGCTCTATCCACTGAGCCAAACCAGTTAGGGCTCATAAACAAATCTTTAAGTGGGCCATGGCAGAGTGAAGCTGGGAAGGGAAGTTATGGGCCTCGGAGAGAGGGAAGATAGGGTAAGAGGAAGCGAGGGCCTCTTTATCAATCCAAATTAGAAGCTCTTCTTCCTTTTCTAACAGACTTTTCTGAATATGAAGCAATCCTCTGACTTACCCACACTGGTGGTTATCTCTTTGTCTCTCCCACAGAGCTTTCCATAGTTTCAGGAGTAGGCCCTTGAAAACCAAATCTTGCTTGTCAAATAAATAATCCAGCTGGGCCAGAACTCTGGGTGTCAGGCACTCTGTTCAGTGCTCAGGAGCACAGCACTAGGTTCTCAATAAATATCTGACAGCTGACTGAGCAGGAGAAGTAGACAAGCTCTTTTGAGGGCTGTGAATGAGTTTGCCCATCACGTGGGTGATCTCTTTTTAAGAGGTTTAGACAGGGAAAGCAGAGAACTGGCTCTGTTGTGTCCCAACCTTTGTCCTGTTTCACCTCTTTACACGTCTACCTTTGCTCAAGGTTTTTTCCTCATCCAAGGGCTTTTCATGGTTGAAGGCAAAAAGGGACAGGAGACGTGACTGTCGGCTAGCTTGGCCTCCAAGGGGCTGTCAACACTGTATTAGCCATGGAACCATGTCTTTAGGGGAAATAAGTTAGAGCCATCCATGTAAATCCGGTTAGAAGCAGAGCTGCTCTGAGTACAGTGGAGAAGGCCAGTGGAGGATTTGGATCAGAATGACATGATCTCATTCACACTTTTAAAAGAGGACTCAGCTTTGGTATAGATCAAGCACGTCAAACTCAAAGGCTAACAAGGGCCAAATAAACAAGGCTTAAGTTTATATGGGTCACAAAAAAACAAAGCTTCAATTTTCATAGAAATGGGTTTATTTTGATAGAGACATGCTGACTACAAAGGGCTGAAATAAATGAGTCATTGTTAACATAAAATAATAGAACATTTTGATAAAAATTAATATTTTTTTCTTGAACATGAACTAACCAGACACTGAATAACTGCACAAATTAACAAGCGTAACATAAATAAACCTATTTTTCTTGTTCTCTGAAAGCAAAATATTTCCTGTTGTGCACACCAAACATTCTGTCCAAGACTAATGACGTGGTGCCCTGACTGGTTTGGCTCAGTGGATAGAGCATCGGCCTGGGGACTGAAGGGTCCCAGGTTTGATTCCGGTCAAGGGCATGTACCTTGGTTGGGGGAACATCCCTGGTAGGGGGTGTGTA